GGTGGACTGTCCCATCTTAACAGCGGGAAAAAGCAAACAACTGAAACTCTGCAAATATATGTGTTTAAAATTGTCACCCCCCCCCCATTTAAAATAATTTTGCTCAAACGCCTGCATGTTGTGTCAAAGTGTAATCCTACTATACGACCAACAAGTTTCATATGATGTACATATACTTGATAAGATTTGAAAAAATCTGAGTTATTGCAAGTGAACCCAACCAAAAGTACCGACTGCCACATTCATCACAGCATGTTGACGACTCACGAAGAAAATGAATGCATGGCAAAACCCATGTTGGAAAGAAGGCATGAAAAAAATGCCCCGATGTTTGTACAGTTGATACCGCATCCGCCGACCTTTCCTAGCGAGTGCCTTTGCGCGTCACTCCTCTGTAGGCTGGAGTCCGGCCTTGTTAGCTTTGGTCCGCTCCCCAAGATCCGCTACCCAGCCAACTTGGATAGCGGATCTTGGGGAGCGCACTAACAAGACTGTACTCCAGGCTAAGCCAGATGTACTGCTAGTCCCTGACAGCTTTGACAGTGACACCTTACGAAGTGATGTGAGGGGTCTTCGGAACTAAGGTGTCATAGTCACGATGTACAAGCGGGAAATATCACATAAGGATATGAAAGTTAGCTTAAGGTCTCACAGAACCTCTAAAAATGTAAGAATTCGAACCTGTTTTGCCCTCACATTCCTGCGCTTTACTGTACGGCATCGTACTTGAACTTATTCTGGAGTCACAATTCTAAGCCGGGGCCCGACCGGGCTGTTTGAATGAACGAAAAATAAAGATGCATATCAAGAAGATGCATAAATTATGCTCATGATTATCTGTTAGATGTTTTGTGTGTTTTGTTAATTCTCCTTCATACTTCTGTTCAAAACAATTCAAAACTTTCTGTCTATTCGATGTTAAAGACGAGGTACGGACAAGAAAATTACATTTCTGAAATACACAATTTTGAAGTTCGTAGATCGATTACAAAGATGAGAATTTCTTGCCATAAATTGAATATAGAATTAGGAAGATATAAAAAAATTCCTCGTGACCAGAGGTTTTGTCCATTCTGTCCCAATGATATTGAAGATGAACAACATTTTATTTTGAATTGTACACCATATAACGATAAACGCACAAAGCTGTTCAACCTTCTCTCCGCCTGCTCAACAGAATTTGTTACATTTCATGCTATAGATAAATTTAAGTTCATCCTAGAAGGCAATAACCCTTACTGTGTACAAATAGGTAAATATATCAAAGAATGTTTAGACCTTAGAACAAGTAGTATTAGTTGACCCACCTATTGCTCTGTACGTAGGATATTTTCGTTGTACCCATGTATAATTGTCTGCATATCTACATGTCTTTGACCTTACAAAAGTCGCTGTACTTTTTGTTGTGTCAATAAAGTTCTTCTATTATACTTTCCGTTCCCGCAAACTACCCGGTCGGGCCCCGGCTTGGAAATTAGACGGTCACTCTGCTCATGGTTCTATTCTTTAGAGTCAGAAGTCTTTATATGAATGACATCCGCATATTCTCCAGACTATTATTAGTTTTTATTTTTAATAATAAACATTACTTAGTATTTTGATTAGTTTATTGTTACAACCACTGTTCAAGTATATGTTATCTATGTCCCTACTAAAGAAGAAAAGAGGAAGAACTACATATATGTCCATGAACGTACGTACTCAATTGCCTTCGGGAAAAAAATCCATAACCATCTAACTGGTTACAGTTAGCGGTATTTATAAACGACATCTGCATATTATCTAGTATTAGTTTATTTTTCATAGTCACCAGTATGACCACTGTTGTTCATGTATATGTTATCTATGTCCCTATCACTTGTATGTTTCCCATCCATGTCCACGTACTTGCCCTTCGGGAACGAACTTGCAAAAAAAACTTTAATAACCGTCTATAACTTAGTGCCTCTAGTTACAATTTCACACACTACTTTACATGTATATGACATGAGGCTAGAGGATATAATTATGCTTTTGATCGATATCATTTCCAGACACTCTGATGAGCCCAGAAAAAAATTGCTGATGTCGCAAGATTTCCTCAGCGCTTTAAACTCCAACTCATCGTTATTTCTGAGGTCAGGGAGGTGAGATACACGGCCAATATTGTACACCCCGGGGACCGGCCTCCGCAGGCCGGCTTACTCACAAGGTATCACTTTACCCTTTCACGATCCAGCCCGCCGGTCTAAGAATCCAGCTTATATTATTACTAACAGAGTTTGCGCCGCCAGGAGGCATGGGTATCCTGGATAAGCCTCCGCCAGGCCTTCCCGAGGGGGTTTGGATAAAGTAGAATTCGGCAAAAGTTTAGGACGGGGTCATTGGCCAGAAGATAGGGGCTAGGCACGACCGATCGAAGTATTTATAAACGGGCAAATTAACTCATTGGCTATTGTACAAGTACCCAGAACCGTGCTTAGTATTGTTCTATGCCAGAAGGGGTTGTAGGGTCAGGCGCGGTTCTGGATAGTCTCCTCGTATCCAAGAACGTAGGTTTACCTCGTCGATCAGGCACGGTTTTGGATACGCGTAATGGTTGTAGCTGGATAAAGCCCTCGGATTCTGGAAGCTACACCTCTGGCCAATCTGGCCTATTTTGCCAAATGTTACAAATTGTTTTGTGAGTCTGATGGAGACAATGGATGCAGGACGTCGACGTCTGGATATAGGGGAAGAAACTTGTTCATTCATTAGTCCCCAATTAATCCCGAAGTCTGTAGCTGCGGGTGTCCATATGAAACGATTGCTCATTATATACACCAGCGCTCAGTCCTCTTTGGCAAGCTTTCAAGCATACTTGGTAATATTGTTTCTGACAATTCGAAACAGCATTTAGTTCTACGCGGTAGTTTTCTTTATTCGTATGATATCAACTGCAAAATAATGTTAGCCGCACAATATTACATAAAAGAAACAAAACGCTTTTAACTGTGTCTTCTGGGATGGGAGGTTTGTTGCTCACGCGATGTCTCATGTATTTTCAAATGTCTTGTAAAATATTGTTCTTTCATTGTAAAAGTGGCTGCGAGAATATAAGTTGTACTTGTACCTAATTTGAGTTCGCAGTCACTTAGTCCATGTCTTTTCATTTGTAACCATCATTGTGATTCCGAATTAAGTAGATCATTCGATTGGAAAGACTGTACTCACGGTAACCACTGTTGGTCAAAGGAGTGATCATTAGCCACATGTAGGGGAAACTACGCCCCTGTTTCAGTGTCAGCAGATCTTCGGTGGCTACTATTAGTACAGGAGCCAGGGCCTGAAAAATGTGATTTCGTGGCACCCACTTTACAGAAAAGGTTTGACCTTATTTTGTGGTAAAGGGGCCTCTGCCACATCACCCAGTATGATTTTTATGCTCAAATTGTGGTATCACCTTTTTTCTACAAAAGTTGTATCAGTCTATCAATTTTCATGAAAAAACGTTGATATTTAATTTTCTGCCCCTCCCCCTTGAAAATGTGCCTTTTTTCGCTCGTTCTATTCAAGTGTTACACCTTTACGGGCCCATAGAAAAAAAGTGATACCACAATTTGAGCATAAAAATCATACTGGGTGATGTGGCAGAGGCCCCTCTACCACGAAATAAGGTCAAACCTTTTCTGTAAATTGGGTGCCACGAAATCACATTTCTAGGCCTCTTTTAGATATTGGCTCCTGTACTATATGGACACCCGATGGTTAGAGCCCTGCCATCGTAGCATCTTCTTGGAGATTAGAGATCATGGCTGACCCCATGGCCAATATCGCATACAAAACACCCAATTAAGCTTACCCGTGCTACACGTATGCCGGTAGTTCAAAGTCGGTGAATGACTGAGTCACCCTGAGTTAGGGAGTCAGTAGAGAGGGACTCTCTCTATGTTGACCTCCTTGCCCCGAGGAAAGTATAATTGCTGCAGAATCCTCCGCAAATCCGCCTGAAGCGCGTTAATTAAGGCCGATATGATAAAGATAAGATTCGCTTTTACTAGAACAGTCGTCTCAAGATATTGGCTTAGGCACTGAACTTCAACCGTCATCCTACCGACAGAAGTGGATCTCTAGTCTCTTCACTCCTTTATAATTAGCGGACCAACTCGGTCTCCTCCGGCATGTTATCTCTGTCTATTTGACCAAGTTCTACTCTTTCCACCCGCTTCCGAAGCCTGGCAGAGGCTAGCGGTGCTCAGTCATTGATAGCTGTGGTAAGCGAGTGCCGTGTGGAATGTATCGCTGGAAAACGAGTGCCGAGTCAAAATTCAGCTCTGGAATTCCAGTTCTGGCGGAGCTTCAGCACTGGAAAAAAAGCCGTTCAGCACTAGAATTCCTGTGCGGAGTTTCCCTCCGCACAGGGCCCCGAGTGCCGACGCCACTTTCTCCGCGAGTTCCGCACTGGGTGGCCAGTGAGGAACCCGTTACTTCGGTACCCTTGCCTCAGTCATGTCGGTGGTGAAGCTCACTGCTCCGGATCCCCATGGGAGCCGAGCGAAGATGATGATGATGAAGGGTACGGTGAATTCAAACGGCCTGAAGAAAAAAAAAACATTAATTACTACACGAATACAGAGACTTTCAACTGGAAGATCGAGATCAAGGAATCAAAGATTTCAGACTTTCTGGAAGTGTTTTAAATGTTCATGAATTCAGTTGGAACTGTGGAGGGAATTGTATGATGTAATTTATTACCACTTCCTGAATTTCTCCGCGTACTGCCCACTTGCTTTGTACTGGGTCACCGTTAATCTACTAGTATTAGCCTTGACCTCCCTGTCAATCAACAGTCAAAACCACTTCCCACCCTCCGTGCAACTTAACGTCGCTACTCCGACACGAAACACACAAACTCACAAGTCAGCCACCCAAAACAATACTTCCGAAGTGATGTCGAACAACAGCTAGAGTCCCTAATACATGTATTCTAATTTTGCAGTCGGCTCCCTTTCACCACAAGTACTAGCCTCTACCAGGCTTGGGGAGGTGGCTGGAAAGAGTAGAAATCGGCCAAATAGAGAGATAAGCATGCCAAGGGAGTTTGTCCGTTGAGAGAACATTTCGCCGCACCCCAATGTTCTCTTGCAGAGGTCATTGACATTGCTAATCGTCCACGCAAAAAAAAACCCACCGGCCTTTCACCCCCTGACCCGCAGTGGTTTCGCCTTCCATGTGTATACGTACGAACCAAGATGGCGGCGGCCGACTGGGAAGAAGTGAAGCGACTAGCCGCAGATTTTCAGCGCGCACAGCTCAGCAGTTCGGCGCAAAGGTACGGGAACAGTGCTGCGTTACACCTGATAGCTTTCTGCTCTTAACTGTGAAAAAATCGTGAAAGTACTTCGTCCGAGCGCCTCAGAATAATTCGTGAAAGCACGCCGGCGGGGTCAACGTCTGCAAAGTTTTCCATACGATTGCGACATATGGTAGAGTTTGGGTCACTTCCAGTTTCTATTGCATCGCATTTCAAAATACAGCATGTATGCTTGATCCTAATAGAATTACTTTAGGAGAAAACTAGCCTAGGAACTTTGTGTGAGAAGGCTGAAAGCAGCCCCGCCCCCTTAAAAATAGGATGATGCCACCTGTCCCAACCTCCTAGGATCGTTGCCTGTCTAACTATTAGTCGTTTTGAGCCTCCGTACCGTAGCAGGCTTACAGAACTGGGGGTTTGGTGGTC